CTCTCTCTCTCTCTCTCTCTCTCTCTCTCTCTCTCTCCCCCTCTCTCTCTCTCTCGTGTGTGTGTATGTGTATGCATGCGTGGGTGTTTCTTTCCCACGTCAAATTCTTTGAAAGATCATGCCACAGGCAACAAACCGCATTGAACAAGGTATGTACTTTCTTTCGTTGCTTATCATCAAAACATCTGTGTGTGTGTGTGTGTGTGTGTATGTGTGTGTGTGTGTGCTGTCTCTTATACACATCTAGATGTGTATAAGAGACAGGAGAGAGAGCGAAACGAGAGAGAGAGAGAGAGAGAGAGAGAGAGAGAGAGAGAGAGAGAGAGAGAGAGAGAGAGAGAGAGAGAGAGAGAGAGAGAGCACCAACCTTGCGTGGTAGACCGGGCGTAGTCCCGCTGCCCGCTGCCGCCTCCTGCTGCGACCTGCCGCTGCTGCCCGCCGCCCGCTGCCCGCTGGGTCGCTGTTCCTGGCGATGGAGGATTGCGGCACCGACGAAGGTTGCTGCCACCGCCCGCTGCTCCCTGCTCCCGCTCCTCGCTGCCATATGGAGGACGTCGTCGGCCCCGGAGGCAGACGGCGGCGCGAAACGACGAGGGTTGAATGTGGGGGGCCTGGGCGGGAGACTACACCTGCCAAGAATCGTATTCGAACGTTGGAGGGAAAAAAAAATTGCGGGCCTTGACGCGGCCCGAAAAAAAATTTGCGCGGCCCCGGTACCTTTTTTTTGGAGACCCCCCCGACCACATGCAACCCACCCCCCAACTTTTTTTTTTTTTCCCCGACCCCTATTGTCGGTCATGCGGCGCACGTCGTGCGGGCGCCGCCTGCGCGTTGCGCCGCACGTGCGCAGGTGCCGCGCATGGCGTGCGCCGCAAGTATGGTAAACATGCATAGTGCAAAGCACAATTATAATGGTGTGAGACCCACAATGCGAGATGCACAATGTGAGACACACATAAAGCATGACAGACACAAAGGTGAGAGAATAGCCGAAGTATGATGACATCCGAGCGCAGGTTGCGCGATCTCAATTGAAAAACTATCTCATGCTGCACAAACCCAGTTGTGGCCTGGCTTTCAATTACAAAACGATCCCATGCTGCGAGCGCAGTTGTGTCAGTGGCCACACCATCCAGGGCCTTTTAGGCCCTGGTCCTTTTCACCCGAGGGCCGAGGGCGCGAGATAAGGATATGACTAAACAACTAGTTCCTACAGCTTACTCTGATCCCCAAAAGATCTCTGTTTGCCAAATTACCTCTCCACAATTTTCAGACATGCTCTAAAAGGAAACCGCATAAGAAGATCAGTTACTGTAAGAACCCGGGCGGTGGGGACGGGGCCTCCTTTCCTGCAAACTGGCGGTGGCCTTGGACCCATCAGCCAAGGTTCAATCCTGATCCCCCTTTCGGCAGTCTTCAACATCCTAACACCTGAGCCCCAAGTCCTAAAAAAAGGCTCGCCTGACACTTACCTTATGTAGTGCTCTGTTCATTCTCCTTCATTCTGTCCAAATCGGAGAGTTCTTATATTCGACAGGACAAGGTTTATCATGGAGAGATCTGAGTGGAATCTCCTCCTCAATAATCTGTCATGTCAGTTCTTAGCGTCCAGATAGAATACGAAACCGCTGCTCTACACGTGGTAGCAAACATGAAGCGAGCCCTTTCCCGCTTCCTTGGTGTTGGAAAGGAGACCCTCCACCCTTCATCCCACTTCACTTGAACCTCCACATGCTTGTCCCATAACCTCGCCCACCAAACCCGTATTCTTTTAGGGGGTAACTTCGACACAGTAAATTAATGAAAACAGTGTGAAAATGCACTTCAGGCAATCGCTCGAACACAACGCACCCGAACGTGACCCCACCGGACCAGAAACCTAGGTTATATACATTCACCATTGCCGGCCTTTTTGCCTCGTTCACAAGTGCATTTTCAAACAAAAAAAACCCTTACTGCGTCATTCTTTTAGTCTTTTAGACTATACACAGCCCCACCACAAGTGGGACTTTTTTTATTTGTTTTTTTTTGGAGTCTTGGACAGTGGTTTCTACAGGGAGGGGGCTCCACACGATGAAGCGGGATTGGAGGCCTTGTGACCCCTGAATTTGCAGCTCCTTGAGAAAGTCTGTTGTATTTTTTCCCTGGGCAGTGGGCCCTAATAAAACTACTGTTCATTTAAAAAAGAATTAAAAAAAAAAGCACCTGCATAATACATATCACACCAAAAGGAAAACAAGAAAAAAAGCAAAAAATCAGGGTAATACGTCAGTTTCAGTGCATGTGTGATGGATTGAGACTGTGGCATACTCGCACATTCACACTTCGAATTTTTTTTATTTTATTTTTTTTAGGGCTGATAAAAGCATACCCTCCTAACTACTATCGGGGTGGCTCCGATCTATTGGTGGGGAGCAGTACCTGCTGGAAAACGTGTCCAGCGTCCCTTACATATAACTTGAGTGAACATAGTACGATCCAAAAAAACCCATATCCAAGTGAGGTGTTGTTCTAGTCATACAAACTCCAGATGCCTCTTCAGTCATACAAAAATGAGCGCCAGAACAAAGTGATTAACCTAGCATCTATCTCCATAATCTCCCACCTATCTAGCCAGGTTTGGTGGGTTTGCAAGCATGGCTTTGGTGAGATGAGCCATCTGTTTTTTTTTTTTTTTTTAAACAAGAAGAATGGATGAGGCAGGCAGGTTTTGAGTTCAGAAAGGCAACGAAAACATACGCCCGTAAAGATATCATGGCGCGAGCGGCGAGATTGAAACGGCAATTTTGGTAGAAAAGGATCCGTTGGGCCTTTTTTTCTTTTTCTTTTTTTTTCCCTTTTCCTGTCTGACACCACGATCGACCACTGTAGTTATTACACTTGTGTCTCTGTCACGTCCACGGTACTTTCATTGCTTTAACGACCTCGGCGGCTGTTTCTCTCCGGGCGCGTGTTTCTTTTGCGCATCCGAAACTCAGATTTGACATCAGCTTAGTTGGCCCTTTTTTGTTCTTTTATTCAAGGTAACCAGCATTCGGGACGGGTCGAACGCCCGAGCCTGAACGCCCGAACGTA